TACTACTACTACTCCTCCTAGTACTAGTACTACTGCTACTACTACTACTACTACCAGTACTACTACTACTACTACTACTACTAGTGGTACTACTATTACTACTCTACTACTACTACTGCTGCTGCTACTACTGCTACTGCTACTACTACTACTACTACTACTACTCCTACTAGTACTAGTACTACTGCTACTGCTACTGCTACTACTACTACTACTACTACTACTACTTGCGAAGTTTTCACATGTTTCACAAGCAAAAAACACAAAGCAAAATCGAAGACTTAAAGATTCTATTTTCCAAAATTCGATCATTCAAGCAGTCGAATTTTCGGTTTTTTCGTTTAAACAGAACAAGGAAAGAGGTCGCTCGAACAGTTGACCCTTTCAAAATGCGAGTTTTCGCGTTTTTGGGTTGAGACAAAACAAAGCAAGAGTCAATTCGAAAATTCAATTATTCGAAAAGTCGAACATGAAAAACATCGATTTTTCAAGTTTGGGCGTTTTTTGGGTTGAGACAAAACAGAGCAAAAGTAAAACCGAAGAGCAGAAAATTCAAGTTTTCAGGTTTTCGCTTTTTTGGGTTGAGACAAAACAAAGCAAGAGTCATTTCGAAAAATTCGAAAATTCAACAAGGCAAAAAATCGAATTTTCAGGTTTTCGCTTTTTTAGCTTGACAACACAAAGCAGGAGTCAATTCGAAAATTCAGAAAATCGGGAATGTCGAAAATGCAAAATATAGAATTTTCGATTTTTCGTGTTTTTTGGTTGAGACATAGAAAATCATTTAGGAAAGTAGAATTTTCGAATTTCCGGGTTTTTGCGTGACACAAAAAATTCGAATTTTCGACTTTTCGTTTTTTCGGGTGCTCGTCACTGTTGCGTGCGCGACACAAAACAACAGCACAGCTTCGAGAAGGCTCTGCCCTACCACACCTGTCCGGACGAAGACTTTATCATCGCTTGCTTGAGGGAGATTCGCCACGTCGTGGTCGTGACCTTGGGAAGGACGCTGAGGATGAGACCTTCCCTGGTTCGTGGTTCCAGCCTGGAAGATGGACTGTCGGACTGCGTACAGGGAACGGCGTGCTGAAACAGAATCTGCAACGTTTTCCATCAATGCTGATGGCCTTGGCGGGGGACAGACCCCCGGTGAACTTGCTTTTGACCGGAGCGTCTTTCCCTAATTTCTCGTGCTCTGCGGGGGACTATACAAAATTGAGTCTCCTGCCACAAATCTTGAGTGACGCGCCGCTGGGGCCATCCATAACCATAGGTCGCCTCACCGCGATCTTTCTTTTAGGTTGCCGTCTTGGTGCACTGAATTCTGAGAACTACGATCCAAATTGGCGAAGTCCCCTCGTCTTCCTTCCGCGAAGCTCGGGGCGTGTTTCCTGAGAGCAGGACAGGGCAGCCACTCTTGCCGTGTCGTTTGTCCCACAATAATTGGGGGGGGAGTCGCGCTGGGTCATGGGTCGCTCCCCAGGTTTTAACCCAGTTTTGACCGTGTGAAAGAAAGGGAGCGAGAGAGAGAGCGTCTGCAAATCCTGATCCGATTCCGGGTGTTGAATACACATTCCTCTGCATCGCGGTGACGTTCGATCTGTTTTTCACATTCCCACAAAGCTTCTGAACATACGAGGCCTGTTTAGTGGTTGGGGAGAGTGGCGAGAGCGCCAGAGAGAAGCAAGCAGACAGATGGAGACATAGAGCCAGTCTCCACGCTCCCTGCCGAAGGTAGTGTGTGCACCTCATGTGACCTGCCCCTGCATGCTGTGCCTTTGCGCAGGCGCAGACACCTGCTGGGAAGCTTGCATGATTTAGACATGCCGCTGTTGCTCCCGGAATGCTTCTGTGCGGAGTTGTCAAGCGGTTCCAGCGAACTCCAGTGCTGCCATAATTAAATTGGGACACGGCTTTGTGATCAGGGCTGGGGCTGGACCGTGAAGAGTCAAGAGAGTCTATAAGTTTGATAGAGCCGGTTAAAGAGAAAAAGATCGGAGAAGTCGGCACTGGAAGTAAGGAGAAGGCGCGAAAGCACTGTCAAGGACCGGATAGTCCAGAAGTTTGGAGCTTAGCTCTTGACTGTGCCCTTCTGCGCGATCGGTCCTTGCAATGTCGAACCGCCGACTTCTATTCCACGGACGGGGTACTGTGACCAGCCTGGGCAAATCACAGGTTTTGGCTTCTCAAACTTTGTCAAAGAGCCATGGCAGGAAAGGTAAAGCTCAGGAACAAGGAGCGGCAGCAGGGTGCCATAGTCTCTCTATTCCGGTGGGTGGGTCGGTCGTCGAACCCAAAAGATCACTGCCGGGCCCTGTGTAAAAAGTATGAACAAGCCCAACATGCATGTGTGTGTGCGTGAGAGGTTGTCTGAAGCATACAAATCATTTGGACAGAGCGTGTGTGAACTTGCGACGGCAGCAAGATTGAACAGATTGAACTGCCCTCCAGGCCGTGTTCCTTTATTGATTCATTTTGTGTACTCCAAGCTTTGAGCAAAGCGTCTAAAACCAGAGAGAGCGTTGAAGTGGGCAATCAGAGGTTGGAGAAGCTCTTCGATGTCAGGGATCCATTGTCCAAAGTTGTCATGCCAAGCGAGCCTTGGTTGCACTCGGCAGCAAGAACGTTGAAGCTCATGAGGCTGTCTACATGGGCGTGCACTGTAGGCGGCGCAACAAACTTTCAACAGAAAGCCAGCGCAGCCCAGGATGTGTCGGCGGCCGTGAAGGCAGCCCGGAACAAGAGAACGAACCAATTGATGTCTTCACTGAGCCCGGATGCCTGCATGCGATTTGGTGGTCAGGGTAAGGGCTGGCACGGACCTTCTACATTTAAGAAAATCTCTGAGCCCATTGCCGATCCTTGGGTCTGGGGAAAGGAGATACAGAAAAGCTTAAGAAGGTGGTGTCAAAAATGGAATATACTAATATACAGAATGAATAAAAGGAATGAGAAACATATGATATGGAAGATATGCCATCGTGTATGCAAAACTGACTTAAGGTTTATATGGGTCTGCCAGGGATATATGGAAATAGTGTGAATAACGATGAATGCAACATGAGTCAAAGGTGACTAGAATGACGAAAGTGTCAAACATATTCGGAGACCATGCTTTTCGACGTTTCTCATAGTTTCAATATTGCGGCTTCATTTGGTTCTTGTGGTTTCCTTCTTTTCTCAGCCATTCTCCGCCCCTCTTCTCCTTCCCGTCCCCACGCCCTCCCAGCCCCTCGGGAAAATGAGGAAACCATAGCAACGTACACGAACAAACATGAAGAACAATTGAACACGTATGAACAAAACCAGAAGACGTATCGTAATTAGTTCTTTCTTACGTTTTATCTAGTTTCAACATGCTTAAAAGTTTGTCCTCAGGACCGAGCCATTCCCGCTCTTCTCCCCCCACCTCCTTACCGGCCCCCTCCCCGTCTCCCAGCCCCTTCGGGAAAATAAGGGAAAGAAACGAAATTAATCAAACGACAAGAAACATGCGAAAAAAGTGTGAAAGCCATTCACAGACCATGCTTGTCATACCTTTTTCCATATTTTTCACACCTTTTCTTTCTTCTTCTAGACAAAATAACGTTTTTACTAGATGTGTTGTTTGCCTTATTTGTCCTTATTGTCTTCATTAACGGAAAAATAAGACAAGTAAGGAAACCAAGGAAACATCATAATTTTTGTACCTACATGAACCATAAGTACAAGGTGTGAAAAGCATGGCCTGCGAATATTTGTCCATATGTTATTCATGTGTCACTCATAGTGTATCCATATGTCCTGCTGGCCGGTTCATACCCATGGCATATTTATCATGAATACTTGACATTATTGAATTGTTGAATTCAGTGAAAAGACTTTCTTAATTCTACATCCGGGAATCGAAGAGGACTTCAGTTGGGCAATCACATATCAGATTTGCCGCATCGACCCCCATTTTGGCATGGAGCAAGTCAGGGACGCAGGTTTGAAGTTTCCGAAGTTTCAGATCTCAACAAGGCATTGCCATATGCTCGATGCCGGAATTAGTTTCCTCGTTGTGCTGAGGAAGACCTGGAGGAGGCGAGACAAATCAGGTGATATTAGCTTTGTGGGCAGAGCGGTCCGACCAGGGTTCGGGAATCGAAGGACTTGTGGCACATCCTTCCGCACGAGAAGCCTTGATGCCTTTGCACTTCACAGGTGTTGGTTGAGCTCAAGCGCATCCACGCAAAGACAATTGACAAAGACAGGAAGGCAAAGCTTTCTTCGGCCCAGCCTGTTATTTCTTGGAGACAGTTTCTGGAAGCTTTTCCGCAACTAAGCTCACGAGAGCCTTGGTCAGTGCACAGCAGTCCAGTTCTGCAAGGACTGCATTATGCTCGATGATTTGCCAAAGTATGCAGTTGGTCCGGTGGCCACGCCCCGAGATTTATGTGCGCTGCCTCCGGTGCGGCATGATGGGCACTGTTGCAAGGAGTCATTCACCCAGCAGTGAGGCCTTAAATCTGTTCATTGTCCAGCAATCGCTGCTGGGGGACGATATGCCGTCGACCGGCGCTTCCGGTGCGTATCTCATGGCGTACGAGAGATTGCGCAAGCCGGTGTCCCGCTCTGAGCAGTGGGTGGGCGTTGTGACGGCACTTTCCACAGTGGCGATTATCCTCAGCGACTTGACCTATCTGGGTGGGAGTTGTGAGGTTGCGACTCCGCGACATGCTGAAACATACACCGAGCCCGAGGCTTTTTGTTCTTGGGCCTCTCCCTGGATATCGACCCGAACTGGGCAGGATGGATTGTATTGGAAGGTATTTGTGCCATGATTTTTGTGGCTGAAGTTTTGGTCAAGACTTATGCCCTTCGGACTGCAAGTCAGGGTGGCTATGCTTGACCACATGAAAGGCCCCCAATAAAGTCAAAGTCTTTTTGCGAAGGAGCGGCTGTAGGCCTTTTGGTGCTGTCTGGAACAGGAGCAACTCATCTTGGCATGTCTGAAGAATGCCAATGGCCAGCGGTAAGCCGGCTGAGCTTGGCAGAGACAGCTTAGGTACTGTCTCCGACAGGCTATTTCTGTGGCAAGGACTGCGTTTGGAACTCCTTCGACGTCCTGCTTTCCATGGCCGCTTGGCCGATGTCTTCTTGTGGCTTCAATCCACGACCTTCTTGCGGGTCTTCTGGGTTCAGAGGTAGCAGTCGGAGAGACGATTCTGAACATCGTCTTCGCTACATCAGGCTCCGAGATGAGTCCTGGCCTTCTAAAAGCTGCGCTGTGGGCTCTGCGGGTCTGGTGGGTGGCATGTGGGGCCTATTTTCTTCTTTATACGACAAAGGAAAGCGGCTTTACTCTTAAGGGGCTTGCGCTTGGCCCGCATCCTACAACTGTGATTGCTTGCTCAGACTGGAACAGCTCACCGATGCTCACCGTCTCGCACAGGCTCGCATGGCCCGTCTCGCAAAGCTTGTTCGGATGCCGCTTCTGGAGGAGCTGGCAAACATCGTGTCAGGCAGATCTAGTCTCTGTGTGTGTGTGTGTGTATGCCCTGACAGTACTGTGAGCTAGGGTTTTGGCTTGCTTGGTGCTCGTACAAGAGCAGTGCGGGGCGGCTCTCTGATGCTCCCGTGTCCAACTGCACGATGCATGGAAGAGTGGAGCTGCGTCGGACCTACCCCAGTGTACCCCTGCAGTGCGAAATGTTCGTGGTGCATGGTCCACCTAGCGTAGTTTCATCATGTCAGACTTGTAAATGTAACGCCTCCGGGTGAGGCCGAAAACCGCATAAACGATGTGTTCGGGCCTAAGGGCAGCCTGCTCAGAGCTGCATTAACAGGATGTGGTAAACATGTGTAGTCTTCCCAACATCGACAGTCTTCCCTGACATTTCTTGACCATTTTCACAATTCCTCAAAATTTTCCACAATCCCATGGTCCGGTCGATGCTCTCTTTTTCGTGCAGAGGCAGGAACACGATGCCTGATGTTGCATACGCGTATAGTGGCATTCAGGAAGCATCTCCGTACAGCGGCACATTTACGCCCAGGCTATTGAGAATGCGTTTTGTCTTTCGCGTCTGACAGGAGCTGTCTTCTGTTCTCATGGTGTCACACTGTCTTACCTTCCACTTCCTGTAGAGTTCAGTTGAAACAGACTGTGGGTGCGTGGGGCGCAACTGAAGATCTCTATCGAGAGGGGGGCCTTGTCCCACAGAGGCCATCACAAGTAATCCGGGAGTTGCGTGGTGATGAGGGTTTCGGTGTTTGCGGCGCGAGAGAAATTGAACTATCCCGTGTTCGTCCCCCTGATTCACCGCCACCCCCACCACCCCCACCCACCCACCCAGGCAGGCAGGCAGGCAGGCAGGCATGCATGCATGCACACGCACACATGCAGTGGCCGCAACAACAGCATGACGAGGAGCACACGCACATGCACACGCACACATGCACACGCACGCGCACGCGCACGCGCACACGCAC